GGAGTGCGGAGTTGGCTCAGGCTCCGAGGGAGCTCTACCCTCCGATCCCCGAAATTATGGGGATCCAGGGGAGCTCTTCTCTTCCCTTTCTCCCAGGGAAGAGATTCAAGCCGCGGGACAGCTGATTGTCAAAGTCCCGCAGCTTTTACACAACCCAGGAATGGGCTGCTTTGTGAAAAGCAGCCATCGTAGCTGCTTGATCCACCGGAACATTAATGTTGTCTCTTAATGTTTGTTTCTTGAAGACAAATTATATCCATTTTTAATTTTTGTAATCGTGTAAAGATTTTTCTCCTTTTTGAAGGAGAATTTAGTCCATTTATATTCATTGACAAAATCCCATTCTCCTCCATCTCTTTCAATTATATCTAGGTCTTAATCCTCTAGTCAATCTTATCTGTGTCTGATCTCTTGGTCTTGCTCCTTCTTCTGTATATGTGTTTTTAATTTCTTTCTCCTCTCTTGGTTTGAATGCTTCTTCTACTGCCATTTCTTCCTGCTTCTTTGTTTCTTTCTTTATATCGGATTCAGGGTCACCTCTTTCCAAAAAATGCTCAATGGTTGTCGAAGAACCATTGCTTTAAGTGGTGTCGCCAGTCTATATCTTTTCGTATCTCAGTAAATTAAAATCCCTTCTGGAATCAGCCATCTGGAATTCACTCCTTTTTCAATTAATTTCCTAGTTAGAAACTGGTATTCTCTTCGGGATTCTCTTATTCTCCTAGGAATTTGTTTGAGAACTACAATTTCTTTTTCTTTGTATTTCAAAGGTTTGTCTCTTACTCTTCTCAAAATCTTGTCTCTTGTAGATCTTTTAAGATACCTAACATGTACTTCCCTAGGGACTTTATTTCTTCTAGCATAGTTTGAGTTGACTCGATAGATCTGGTCTAATTCTCCTTCCATTTGCTGTTTCCCCAGTTCCTAATGTGTCTGCCAATAATTCGGTTATTAAGCCTAGGAGATCCTCTTCTTTATCTTCCATTATATTTTGAAATCTTAAAAAGTATGAGGCTCTTTCCATCTCCATCCCAGCTATTGAGTCTTCTAGTTCTTCATTTATTTGGATCAACTTCTGATTTTCATCTTTTAAAACTTCTAGTTTCTGGTCAACCTCAGTTGATTTATCTTCTATTTTTTGAAATCTTTGTTAATTATCTGTAATCATCTGTTTAAAATTTTCAAATTGAGAATCCATATTGTTAATTTTTTTATTCATTTTATCAAAATCACTTTTCAACTCCTCATGGTTTCTCAATGTGACCACCATATGAGTAACAATTGCCTCTTGAATTGCTTGTAGGGTTGCTTGAGTGTCCTTTTAGAAGGTATTAGCATTTTCTTGTTGAAGTATTGTATCAATTGATCTCTGATAGACTGGACTTGCAGAAGCCAAAGAGGGAGAAGGAGATCCTTTTTTTTCCAACATTAGATAAGTTAGGAGCGCTCATCTTTATCTTTAAATCATACATTGTAATCCACTAAGTAAGTCAAAATTTATAATCCAATAGGCTCCTAACAAATAGGAGAGGTAAACAATAAAAATGGTAAATGGTAAAAAAAAAAAAAAAGAGCAAAGGGGAAAAAATAGGGGGGGGGAAATATTAAAATTTGTAATCCAAAGTATTCTGTTCGGAGGGATTTCTTGTTATTCATTCTTTCAAAACAGCTTGTAAAGATTCCAGGTCAAACTATATTTGAAATCCAGGGAAGTCCAATGAATTCAAACACAGTTTTTATTTATAATTGTAATCCATCCTGTAAGACAGGGCAATCCAAAAAGAGTCTTTCTTTTCCATCCACAATCTCCAGGACACCAAAATGTTTAAATTATAAGATATGTCTGGGCATACAGCCAAGTTTTACTCCAATCAGAGCAACTCAGTAAAATAAAGACAAAAAGAAAAGCAAGACTGCATGTAGTTCTCAGTTTTGCCATTAGATGTCATTAGATGTCTATTCCCACCATACTTTGAAAAAGTTTAAGAAGTTAAAAACCCGATGGTTTCCAAACAAGAAATAAACAAAAAAAGATTTATAAAACCAAAAGTTTTCCAAGTTATCCTTCTTTTTTGCCTCAGTCATCTTCACAATATTGTTATAAGTCAGTTTTAATTTCCCAAAAACTTAACACCCCCCAAACACTTATAGTTCATGAGGGAGGGGTAAGGAAAAAATCCCCCCTCCCTGGAGCTTAGGGATGCTTTTAAATGCTGTTTCCCAGAACCGGTATTTTCACTTGTAGAGAGATAAGAAAAGTAGTCTCACCCAGATTGGTTGTTTTGCCTTCCATTTTAAAATTTGTTGTCTCCAATGATCAGCTGCTTCTGGCAGACTGCATGGGTGTGGTCAGCCTTTCTTCCTGCTGGTCCCGAGGGCTCCTTTGGATCAAGCGGGCCAGCTACCGCTGACCCGCGATCTGCAAAGTTTCACACTTTGGCCAGTCATCTCTATGGGGTGACTTTCGGTCCTATTGGACTCCCCAGCTGGTAGAAATCGGGCTTGGGGAAGGGAGATTCATTCTCCAGTGCCCATCTTGCAGTGATGTCACCAGAAACTCCTTACGATTCCTGTAAGGCTGGGAAAAGCCTTTTTTGATGAACTGAATACAATAATATTGAAATTTATCTGGCAAGGAAAAAAAGCTAGAATTAAAATGAAAATGCTACAAGAAGCGAAAGAAAGTGGATGATTTGGACTGCTGGACTGGAGGTTATACTACCAAACAACTATTTTAACATGGCTTAAAGAATGGATAATGCTTAGAGTCAAAAGATTATTATATCTAGAAGGGTATAACCTACAAATTGGTTGGCATGCCTTTCTGTGGTATGGGAAGAACAAAATACATAGATACTTTCAAAACCATTTTATAAGCAATGCACTTCTTTCAGAATGGTAAAAAATAAAAGAAAACATTTATATTAAGATACCTGAATGGCTTTCAACAATGGAAGCTTTTGCTTACCCAAATTTAATTAACTACGATAAAGTTGTGACTTATAAAGATATTTTGGATGATGAAGGAAAATTGAAAGACAGACAAAGCTTACAAGAGGTGATCTAGCATGGTGGCCATATCTGCAAATTCAAACGAGATATGAAAAAGATGGTAAAACAATGGGATTTTTTAAAGAACAGATAGAATTTGATCAGATACTGCTAAAAACAGATGAAAAGTTGATTAAGAAACTCTATAGATTTCTGTTAAACTTAAAGATGGAGGAAGAACAAGTAAAAGAAACAATGATAACATGGGCAAAGAACTTTGGATATAATATAGAATTAGAAGATTGGCAAAAGTTATGGGAAAGAAATATTAAATTAACTAAAGCAGTGGCATATAAAGAAAACTTATATAAAATGTTTTACAGATGGCATATGAGATCAGTGAGATTAGCAAAAATGTTTAAAAATACTTCAAACAACTGTTGGAAATGCAAACAAAGACCTGGTACTTATTATCATATCTGATGGACATGCCCTAAAGCAAAAAGATTTTGGGTTAAAATACATTTATGTTTGGAGAAAATGACTAAAAACTAATAGACTTTAAACCAGAATTAATTTTGTTAGGAATAATAGGAGCTAATTATGAGAAAGATTGCAGATATTTAATACTATATTTACTAACGGCAGCAAGAATTGTATTTGTCCAACATTGGAAAAATGAAAATTTATCAGCTGAAGAAGTACTAATTAAGAAAACTGTAGAGTTTGCAGAAATTGACAGATTGACTTTAAATATAAAAGAGAAAGAAGACTCAGTGTACTTTAGAACATGGGATAATTTGTATCAATGGCTAGAAAAATGAGTTAGAGAGAAAGGAATGTGATATGTAATATTGAATATATATTAGCAAGAAGAAGGCTATTGAATGATTAATTAACATATTGTTTATGATAATTAACTATTATCTATTATTGTTTGTTAAACACACGAACCCAGACATTATGCTGTTTGCTAAATATTGAGAATGTTATTTGGAAAAATCCCAACCCTGATCCTAACCCTAATCCAAATCCCAACCTCAACCCCGACCCCACCTTATTTCTAACCCTATAAAAACTAATAAATCTATACAAAAAAAGAGGTGAGGCTTTGATTGAGCAGTTGCAGCTGTCGTATTGACTTTTTGGGGTGCAGATTGCTTAAAATAATAAACCCCAAACATATTATTTCATAGATATCATTGAATATCTTATTTGTAATTTCTGTACTTTTTTGTCTTTTGAGTTCAATTCTCTATCAATGTCAAGACCCACTTCAATACTCATCCCAAGAAAGCAGAACTCATGGAAGCAAGCTCTTCCAAAAGGAACTTTTATTAGGAGAAGCTGATAGCAGGCATACTAGATAGGATCTGAGGGGCTCCCATACAGATCGATAGGTTAAAGTGTCCCCAAGCAAGCCCCACCCCATAGTTCATCCAGATGGTTCAAACCGGCTAATCCCCAGGTTTTACGTCCATTGTGGGAAAGGGGAGATAACATTGGGCCGGCTCTGGTCGTGGCAGCGATGTTTAGACAACTCTTCGCACCTTCTCTTGAGAACAGAGAGATAAGCCAGGTTCCAGAGGTTTTAATTCTTTCTTCCTCCCCCTTTGCTAGTTGACAGTTTAGGGAGAAGAAGTACAGAGAGAAATAGTGCAGGGAAGTGAAGTGTTACATTGTAGCAATAGAGAAAGAATGCAGGAAAGCAAAGTGTTACATTGTAGCAATAGAGGAAGCTAAGGCAATAAACCTGGGATCCTTTCCCCCTCCCCTCTAGGAGTATGGCAGAACCCAGAGAGAGAAGAGAATGGAATTTGGGAGAGAGAAAGAGAGCAAGGGAAGTATGAAATGTGAGAGAAGAGCAAGGGAAGTATGAAATCAGATAGTTATGGGTTCTGACAATCATATCCCTTCATTGTCTTTTGCTCTGGTGCTAAACTTTCCATGCATTTTGCATTACCTTGACCAGGTTCTTTCTTTTTCTTTCTTTTTTTCCTACCCTACAGGAGTAACAACAGTGCTAACAATGACAACGCTAAGCATCAGTGCTCGTAATTCCTTGCCCAAAGTAGCTTATGCCACAGCTATGGATTGGTTTATTGCGGTTTGTTATGCATTTGTGTTTTCTGCCTTGATAGAATTTGCCACTGTAAATTACTTCACAAAAAGAGGATGGGCGTGGGATGGAAAAAGCATAGTCAATGATAAGGTGAGTGATCAAAAACATGTTTAAGGTTTCTTCCAATTTGAACAAAAATCAATTTAGCAGCATCTCCGTTAATAGTTTTCCATTACTGAAAAATAAAGTCTTAAACCAATATGAAGATAGGGTATGTTAAAGCAAGAATGATTAGAAAAAGAAGTAGAGAGTTTGGGTCTGCACTTCAGCAGAAATTAAGCAGCTAATATGGAACTTTTCTTTACCTGCTTCATCTTGAAGAAACAAATATTATCCCAAGGCTGCCCATAAATTAAACCATTAGCACATTTATGCTTGTTTAATTTCCTTTGAAGTTTCCTTCAAAACCATCAACCACATTTCATTATCTTCAACAATTTTTGTAAGGAAAAACCAAAGATACCACTAAATGAAGAGCTATCATAGATTTATATAATCTTTTATGTAATTGTTCAGATTCTCATTTGACTAAAGCAAATGGTTTATTTAAAAAAAATGGTTTCCATTTTCAGAGATGTTTGATCTCTGTAGAGAAATTCTGTGTTTTAAGATGGATAAATAAAATCCCCCAAAGGCTTTAGCAGCAATAATAATAAAAAATATAGGTTTAACAAATCTTTTTATTTATCAGGAAGCATTTTTTTTTGATGAAACACAAAATAGAACATCTGGTTCTATTGATCCATCTAAATTAAAACATGTTTGTGATGTTTTCAGTTGAAAGTAGAACGAAAAAAGCCTATTTTGTTCTGGGATATGAACCAAAATAATGTTGTTCTGGGAGAAGAAGTTCTAGGGATGGATATGAATGGAAAAAAGCCAAAGATAATGTAAGGACCCACCCCACTTTGCATCTTAAGAAGACAGAACTCTTGGAATAATTCTTCCAACAGGAATCCTTTATTAAGAAGAAGTGGTTGCAGGCGTGCTAGACAGGACTTGGGGTCCAAGCCCTCCCATTCAAGGTTTTAAGGGGTTCCCCAGTAGTCCCACCCAATCAACCCCCCTTCCCGTGATAGTTTCAGGTATCACAATTCCACCCCCTTTTTTCTTTCTTCCGTCTGGATGGAGACTTCAGATAAACTACATGAAAGGCAAATACCCTTCTTTGTTATGGTAAGGTTCTTTGGTGCTAACGCTTTGAGGTTACAATAAACACACATTCAGCATTCAGCTCCTTAGAAGTATACTGAAGGAAGTGAGGGCCATAAAGTCCCTTTGTTCTCCCCCTTCTCTCTCTCTTATGGCAGAATCCAGAGAAGGCAGAATTGGGAGTTTCTATATTTGATAATTAAAGATGAAATATAATTGGATTCTGACATCCGGCCCCTCTTAAAAATAAGAGAGATCCACCTGAAAGAAAACACAACAAGTATAAAATTTAGTCAGGCTTGTTAGGATACTCTGTGTGAAAATTCTTCAATAGCTTCAGGGCTCTGACATGACGTTTATGGACCCATTCGTTTTGTGAGGGAGGGAGGTGTTTCCAGGCAACTAGGTACTGAGTTGCTCCATGATATCTCCTAGAATCAAGGATTTCCTTTATTTCGAAGTGTTGTTCGCCCTCTACCATGATTGGAGGTGGTGGTGGGGAGATTTTTGGCCGTAACGCTGACTGATGCTCTCTTTTCAGCAAGCTGCAATGAAAAATTGGGTGTATTTGCCTGAGATTTTTTGGTAATTCTAATTCTACTGTTACTGGGTTTATGATTCTTTTAATTGGAAAAGGTCCTATATATTTTGGTCCAGGTTTTTTACAGGGCTGTAGGGACTTTAGGTATTTTGTAGATAAGTACACCATTTCTCCTATAATGAATGGTGTAGGCTCAACCCTTTTTTTATCGGCTTGTGTTTTGTATGCCTGCCTAGCTTCATCTAGTGCTTTCCTGACTATTGGCCAGATGTTTTGTAATTTCTCCATCCATTCTTTCAGCGAAGGGATCGTTGGTTCGTTTGGGGTTAATTCTGGCATGGGGTTGAAACTTTGACCGGTGGCTATTTGAAAAGGAGTGTAACCTGTGCTGGAGTGGACTGCATTATTGTAGGCAACTTCTGCAAAGGGGAGTAAGTCCGCCCACTCGGTCTGCTGGAAACTAAGAAAACATCTTAAATATTGCTTAAGTACGGAGTTCATTTTTTCAGCCGATCCATTTCCTTGAGGGTGGTGGCTAGATGTCAGTCCCTGAGTGGTTCCTAAGAGGGATAAAAATTCCTTCCAAAATGCAGACGTAAATTGCACCCCCCTGTCAGAGATTATGCGTTGGGGTGCCCCATGCAATCTGTAAATGTGTTGGATGAAAAGTTTTGCTAAGGCTTTTGCAGTGGGAATCTTTTGGCAAGGGATAAAGTGCACCTGTTTGGAAAACA